CAAATAGATAAAATGCAATAAAATAAACTATTAAAAATTAATTTTGGATGTTTTCTTTCCACTAGTCTGAAAGAACACATTATGAAAAGCCAAAATCTCAAAACCGACCGGCGCATTAAAATCATGGTCTTTGCCTGTAGCATCTTGACTATCAAACATTGCCTATAAGAACCACTCATACTTACTTCATGAAATGTATAAATCTAGTTTTTTAATTAATAGGCACTACAGTAATCCTCCCATATTCTGTCATCAGTGATGCTCATGACTCAAATCGATCATAACAGCCTCTTTACGGTCAGGAGTGAGTTTTGCCACTGTTACTGGCATCAACCCCAAAACCGTAGGCGAAAACATTAATGAAACCATGAAGGGTCTGACACGGGCCAGTAAATAACCACTATTAAGACCATAGAAAACAACATGTTAAAAAATACACTCAGAACACTTAGCAACCACCCAAAACACCCTATGCATTGTGACTACATTATAATGTAATGTTGACTGTTATAGATGTTTTCTTACAGATTTAAAAACTGGAAACGTTTACCTGCCATTGATTCAGTGTGAAGACTGAAAATCAGTTTTAAAAATGATTTTAAACACCTCAAACCGTTCTGCATCCAATACTGTGCATTGCTTACATTAGTCCACAATGCAAGTGAAAGAATGCATGAGACAGACAGAGAGAGAGACAGATGAGACACGGTCGTCAGGGGAGCTCTAAACAACATCTCTGTCTCTCTCTGCATATGTGAAGTCACGGCTTGCCAAAATGGTAATATGACATCGTTTGGGTTTTGCAACACATATGCTGCAGTTTCAGGCTTTGCCAAGACACCTAAACCCACTCAGGTCAGACGACAGCACAAACCACAAACACAAATAAGGCCTCATGGGAACATAATTTATCATTATTTATTAAGTAATGCATCTAAGCAACTAAATAAATAATGCTGAAGGTCTGAACCTGATTCATAGGAAAGCTGTTTCCGACACAGAATAAAAAAATGCAAAAGGTAATTGCAACTTATGTCATAATTATGTCTGAATTCTGAGTTTACATACAAAAAAATCCTACTTGTTATCTCACTATTCACACAATTGCGAGTTTATATCTATTTTTTGTTTCCACCATGAAATAAAAAATTGAAAAGTGCGACTTTATATATCGCAATTCTGATTTGTTTTCTCTGTATTCTGAGCTTACATCTTGCCGTTCAGTTTTTTGTTTCCACTATAAAATAAAAAAAAAGAAATTGCGACATTTTTCTCTGAATCCGTAATTCAGGGTTTTTTTTTTTGCTTCTGCCACAAAATAAAAAATTAAAAAGTTAACTGCGACTTTTTATCTCGCAATCTCAGAATTGCGAGAAACAAAGCCAAATTTGTGAGATATAAAATCAGATATGAACTCCATTCAGACTTTGTTTTGATTTTAGATTAAAGTTTGAAACCAATGTTGCACAGTGAAAGAAATCTTACAGCAGTGACATTTGCATACTGAATCGTGATTGGTCGTCTTTGTTATATATATATATTTGCACACTGAACTGTGATGTTTCTAAATGTCACGCAATTTTTTGCTGTCTTGCATGCAGTATATTCTTCAGAAAGGCAAGTTTAGTTTAAATGATTTTGTTTGGTCTGTATATTTCTTACTCAAGAGGACAAAACAGAATTTATCAGCGAGGTTTGAATAGCGTGTGCATGTGTCTCTCCTCATTCTGTTTTCATCAGCCCATCCCCCCGTTCTTGCAGATTAGAATTCATTAGCAATCAAAGAGCCTCTGTGGAAATCCTGCTCTTAATTACCCACTCATTTGCATTTTTGCATATTAATGACTGCAGAGTTTGCCATCTGACTGCGGCAGTGAGCGAGGGTTTAAAGTCACCATGTCTTTTTATTCTCACATGACTACTGCGGGGCAAATACCCAGAATCAGTGTGAAAACCAGATGCGCCACATCACAACACGGGTCACTATCACAGACCGGGTCAAAACCTTCACGCTTTCACCCACAGATTGGCCACAGATACTAGTAATACTGAGAAAACTCACAACTGACTGTAAAGAGCATGCTATTATGACTTTATGAGTCATGCACTGCTCAGTATTTTTGTCTTGTTTTCCAGTACAAACATCTAAACATTCTTAAATCTAAAAAACTAACCTTAGTTTACATGACACCACTAGATCTACTAGTGATTAAAGGAACGGTTCACCCAAAAAAGAAAATTACATTTTTGGGGTTATTTGTCCATATTCATGTTTTCAAGTGAACAGATTTGGAGAAATGCAGCATTGCATCAGTGTCTCAGCAATTTATGGATTATGGACTCTATGGTATTTTAGTTAAAAACGTCTTAATGCTGGATGTGTTTCAGCTTTCGTCTTCTCCAGATGTTAACTGATGGACTGGAGTGCTGTGGATTACTTGTGGATTATTGTGATGTTTTTATCAGCTGTTTGGACTCTCATTCTGACGGCACCCACTCACTGCAGAGCATCCATTGATGAGACACTGATGCAATGCTACATTTCTCCAAATCTGTTCACTTGAAAACATGAATATGGACAAATAACCCCAAAAATCCACATGCATGTTTGACAATGAACCAGCTAGAAAATTCTATAGACAATTTTTGGAAATACAAGTCAAAACACTGAATCATTATGGACGCTTGACTCCCATTCAAGGTGTCTGAATCAAATTCAGCCCCAAAACATGCAAGCATTATGTTCAAAATATGAGCTAAAAGCAACATCAAAATAAATAAGCATGTTATTATTTGGAGATATTTGGTGCAGCATCACAAACACCTGTTTAGTTGAATGTTCCTCATTTAATTTAGACATTTGGCTGCTAGTTAAATGTGTCAAATATCTCTACTGCCTCCTGCTGGCTGACACAAGATGTCACACCCCTCACATGACAACATAATATAAGTGCAAATTTGTGCAACATGGCACAATCACCACATTTGGCAAACTCTTACCATGAACTGGTTTGATGATGAAACGTGTCTTCAACACCAGAAAAACTATTTAGTAACTGCAAAGCAAACACCCTAGCATCATTTTCAATTATTAATGACCAAATAATGAATCATGATAACATTTTATATATATATATATATATATATATATATATATATATACCATATTTCTAGTATTTTATTATTGATTAAATTATATGAAATAAAATTAATAATTATGAAATAGTTTATTTGCTCTATATATTTAATTGGTTACGTGTTTTTTCAATAAACATCTTGTAAAAAGTTGTGATCTTGGAACAAAAAATGACATTTCTTTGGTATGTGTGTGTGTGTGTGTATATGTGTGTATATATATATATATGTGTGTGTGTATATATATATATGAAGAGAGAGAGAGTATATAAAATATTTTATATATATATATATATATATATATATATATATATATACACAGTATATATAGATATGACTGAACAGAGCCCCATAAATGGATCAACGAAGATTCATTTTTAAGTTACTGACCGTTTCGAAGTGTCAGTCTTTATTTTGAGGAATTCTGTGATTTCAAACCAGTTTGTAAAACTAAAACAGCACAGATTTGATATGAAGTCTTATCTGCTTCTCACATTTTAAATTTCCATCTGAAAACAAAAGACAATAAACAAACAAACACAAAGAGAAACCGGTCGTCCCCTCTACAATCACTTTATTGAGAGTCTGTCTGTAGTTGACGTCTGTGGCATATAAGAATGAACATACAGAAATAATTCTATGAGTGACGTTGCTGATATATTAAATCCATTAAACATGATCAAGGATCACATAAGTGTCACACGTCACAACAAACCAAAATAAAAATAAAAATGAAAATTAGATTCTGCTTGTTTTGAAGACCAGATTTTAAGATTGTTTTTGCACTGTGACATTTTCAAGTTTCCTTTTTGTAATTTCAGGCATTTTTTTTTTTAATCTTTTATTATTTTTTATTGGTGAACTGCATTACAGTAGTATTTTTATGCATTACAGTACAAAATGTTACTGTAAGTACTAGTAATGACATGAAAAAGGCAGTACAACAAATACTACCATACAGCACTTCATAATTTAATAATATTTCATTGTTTTTTGGGGGGCAAATGCACTTTTATGGTAAGACAAAAATCACATGATGCAAAGAATCCTAAAAACAGGCTTCATTTTCTTTTAGAAAAATATACGCTACTAGTCAAAAGTTTGGGATCAGTATTGTTTTTTAAAGAAGTCTCTTCTGCTCATCAAGACTGCATTTATTTGATCAGAAATACAGGAAAAAAACAGTAATCTTGCAAAAAGTTATTACAATATAAAATAATGGTTTCTATTTTAATATCCTTTAAAATATAATTTATTTCTGTGATGCAAAGCTGAATTTCCATCAGCATCATTACTCCAGTATAAAGTGTCACATGATCCTTCAGAAATCATTCTAATATGCTGATTTATTATTAGAATTATCAATGTTGTGCTTCCAAATATTGTTTTTGGAAACTGCGATACTTTTTTCAGGATTCTTTGATGAATCAAAAGTTAAAAAGAACAGCATTTATTCAAAATATAAATCTTTTCTAACAATATAAATCTTTGCTATCACTTCTTAACAATTTAACACATCCTTGCTCAATAAAAGTTATAATTTCTTAAAAAAAAGAAAAAAGAATAAAATTACTGACCCCAAACTTTTGAACGGTAGTGTATATTGTTAGAAAAGATTTCTATTTTAAATAAATGCTCTTAAAAAAATATTAAGCAGCACAACTGATAATAAATCAGCATATTAGAATGATTTCTGAAGATCATGTGACACTGAAGACTGGAGTAATGATGCTGAAAATACAGCTGCGCATCAAAGAAATAAATTAGATTTTAATGTATATTAAAATATAAAAACGTTATTTTACATCATAAAAATATTTCAGATTACATTTTTTCCTGTATTTTTGATCAAATAAATGCAGCCTTGATGAGCAGAAGAGACTCCTGTAAAAAACATTAAAAATCGTTCTGATCCCAAACTGGTAAGTCTGAATGGTAGTGCATGTATGACTTATTTCTCAGTTTTGAGCGTGAAATGTTCATGTCATGTACATGTCTCATGAGACTCACCCAGGTGTACAGAAGTAAAGTGTAAAACAAGCAGCTTTGCAGGTGCTCCATCAGATAGGCTGTAAATGTTTGTATTCTGTAGGGGAGTCGTGGGTCATGTGACAGTCAGGTGTGTGTGTGTGTGTGTGTGTGTGTGTGTGTTGTGTGTGTGTGTGTGTGTGAGAGTGTGTGTGTGTCATTCAGCTGTTTGGGTGGGTGTTCTGGGCTGATGGAGCCCCACCGTTTTACACAACCAGCCAGCGAAGTCCACCTCCTCCACCTCGGAGCGCTTAACAAACGTGTGATTCTGGAAAAGAGAGATCACACACACGTGTGTCATGACTGCGCTCGACTCAAACAACAGCACAGTGAGAAACTAGTATGGACTTTTATTCATATTTTGAATTAGTTTTTATTTGTATATTTTCTGTTTACTGGTAATCACTTGAATTTCAGTTACATTTTTAGTAATTTATTTATTTATTTTTTATATACATCTATATAGTTTTTATTCTTTTTTTGTATTTTTTATTAACTAATTAAACATTTTTTAAAATGAAAATAAATATTGCTTTAGCAACTAGCTGAAATAAAATAATTAAGATTATTTAAATATCTGAATTAAGATTTTTTTTCTTAATTTTAAGTATTTCAAGTAACAATTTTTTTTGTATGGTTTTAGTTTTAACTATAACAACCCTGACACAAAATTGAGATCGTATTGTGAATCTGGTGTTTAAAATAACACATCAATGCAGTACAAAACTGTAGAAATAAAAAAAAAAACAATATATGATTCTGCAAGCAAATTCATAGTGAATAATGACCAGCAAGACTTGATTTTATCCAGAATTGATTGGATTGTGAAAAGTGGGTTATGATTTGGTTGGTTGTTATTATTTCAAATCTTGGTTACTGTAATAATAATAATAATAATAATAATGGACACCGTTTGATCAAGAATATTTATTACAGTTAGGGCTGGACGATATGGCCAAAATTGATATCACGATATATTTATTCAACGAAGTCAAACGGCACAAATAAATCAATGTATGGGAAACTGGTAATGTATATTGAAATATCGGAAATGTGTTTAAAAATCATATCACCGTTATTGAAAAAAATTATATCGCGATACATATTGATATTGAATTATTGTCCAGCCCTAATTACAGTATAGGGTTCATTTTGATTTTATATCATCAAACGAAAGAAATGTGCTCTCACCGTCAGCATCTTCAGGTCCGCTCGATCTGCAGGGTTTTTAATCAGACTAGAAGGAATATGCAAAGAAAAAATGCTGAAATGATCATTTAGACACTAAAGCGCTACATTATAACCATAAACCTGTGAACACAATGTCCAAGATCTCAATTACATGTGAAAACACACCAAAGATGTGCTTTATTTCACCCACCGAGTAACAGAACTCACCATTTGGTCACAAAGTCCTGGAAATCAGGAGTGAAGACGCCGTGAGGGAGTTTAGGAGGCGGCTGAGGGATGACACACATGTAAAAGTCTACATTACACATCATTAGTGACAGCATCAGATCTCATATTCAGTGCCTTCTATTAGTTTAGACACATAAAACAGACGTCAGTTTCAAGACAATAGTTTTCATGCAGGCGGTTTTATTCTAAAAAAACATAAACATGTGATTAAAAACAAAAGAGACTCACCTCATTGACTATATAATCCAGCAGCTCAAATATAGCCATGACGGGCCCGTGACCTGAAAGAGTCACATCAGTTACTGTTAATAAAGAGTAACTTCATGCATCTTCCTGAACAACCGGTACAACAGTGACTTATACTGACACCTGCTGGCATTCAACATGATCTTATACAAGTAATATTCATTGCTTTAAATTTACACTTCCAGGAAAAAGTTTGGAATAATTAAGATTTTTTAATGTTTTTGAATGAAGTCTCCAAGGCTGCATTTATTTTATCTAAAATACAGTAAAAACAGTGAAATATTTTTATAATTTAAAATAACTGTTTTCTATGTGAATATCTGTTAAACTGTAATGTATTTCTGTGATGCGCAGCTGTATTTTCAGCATCATTACTCCAGTCTTCAGTGTCACATGATCTTCAGAAATCATTCTAATATGCTGATTTGCTGCTCAAGAAACATTTCTGATTATTATCAATGTTGAAAACAGCTGTGCTGCACAATATTTTTGTGGAAACTGATTAACTACCATTAAAAAGTTTGGGTTCGTGTAAGATTTTAAAACAAAAAAAACAATGAATACTTTTATTCATCAAGGACACATTAAATTAATCAAAAGTGCCATTACAGTTTAACAGATATTCACATAGAAAACAGCTATTTTAAATTCTAATAATATTTCACCTATTTTTACTGTATTTTTGATCAAACAAATACAGCCTTGGAGAGCAGAAGAGACTACCTTCATAAATATTATAAAAATGTTACACTTTTGACCGGCAGTGTAAAACACAAACAATATTCTAATTTTTGCAGTTCCATTTAGGTGACGCTGTAGCACAGAAATTCCCCACTACTCCTTTAAGAAAATGTCCTCAGACTCCGACCAGCCCTGAAATTTAGCTGTCATCCATAAACAAACGCTTTCTCACCGCTGACGGGTCTGCCGGGGGGTCTGGGTCGAGCAGACATACTGTGCGTCTCTGCCTTCCTAACATCCATCACTGCCCTGCCGAAGATGCCCTCCAGCTCCTTAGCATCGGGTGGAGGAATGGGATAACGGCCGATGGCCAGCTCCACCAGAGAGAGACCCATACTCCACACGTCTGACTGCACCGAGTAATGAGTGCCCTGCAACCTCTCCGGCTGAACACACACACGCACTCACAGACACAGACACACAGACACAGACACAGACAAAGACACACACACACACACACACACACACAGACAGACAGCATTTGAAAACTCTTTAAACAGAATCATCTCTTCTAGCCCTCACTGAAAACACCAGTGGAAACATACCGACATGTACGAGCGTGTTCCTACAAAAGAGTTGGCCATGGAGTCAATGAGCTGGCCGCTCACGCCGAAATCACACAGTTTGATCTCCCCGCGGGAATTGACCAGAATATTGGACGGTTTCACATCTGCGAACAAGAAAAGACAGCATCATATTATTATTAGTGCACTTATTTTTGACAGATACTGACAGAATTATTTTAGCACATTCTAAACTTACTTCAGCTTTTAGTCTAGGTCTTTTGGTCGCATTTGTGACCAAAATTGATGTGTACAAACTTTATTTAGGAGCATGTGAGTGAATAAAAAAAGACCTGTGGGTCCTTACAAAGGTCTTAAATGGTACAACAAACATCTTAATTATAATTTTAAGAGGTCTTACATTTGGGGATGAAAAAAAAAAAATCTGACTTTTATTGACAATAACTAATATATATATACACACACACACACAGTGCGTGCATAATTATGCAAGTTGGTATTCTGGTCATATTTCTTTTCCAAGCACATTTGACCAATTCCAAACCACATCAATCTAAATCATAATCATTCTGTCTTCAATCATTTATAAACGATACATAATTGTCTATGAAGGCTGGAAGTGAAAAACGCCTGATATTCAGGTGTGCATAATTATTAAGCAGGTTTTCTTTTACAGATAAAATGAGACAAAAAGAGATTTAACTCAAACTGAAAAGTGAAAAATTATTAAATGGCCATGAGAAGGATGCAATACTAATGCAATACTAGAAATTGCAAAGTTAAGGCATGACCATTGGAGAGCGAAATGCTCATTGGGTCAGAAAAAAAAAACTGCTGGAGAAGAAGAGACATTAACTGCAAAAGAATATCAGGTGTTTTTCACTTCCATCTTTTATAGACAATTATATATCATTTATAAATGATTAAACACAGAATGAATAGTAGTTATTTAGATTGATGTGGCTTGGAATTGGTAAAATGTGCTTGGAAAAAAAATGTCTCAGAATATCAACTTGCATAATCTTATGCAAGCACGGTGTGTGTGTATATATATATATATACACACACACAGTATAGACACATTTCATACAGTTTAAAGTAGGCCTGTAAATACTTAATTAATAAGTACAGTTAGAAGCAGAGATATTTAACACCCACTGTACTTTTTGTTATTCTAACACATTGCTTGATGAATTTTCACTGTGCCCCTAAAGTTTTTTTAATGTGCTCCTACATATTTCAACTTAGGAGCACATGTAGGAGAAAAGTAAGGGTTCATTATTTTCTTTACCTCTGTGAATAATCTGGTGCTTTTCTCGAAGGTAAGCAAGTCCTCTTAAAACCTGTTTGAAGAAAAAAGGAAAAGAAAAGTAAATTTTTAAATCTGAAAAAGGTGTAAATGTTGTTCCAAAACTATACAAGTTGTGTTTTTTTTCTGTGGATTCAACTTTCATAGAATGACCAAACTGCTCGTTTTCCATACGACAAGAGCAAGAATGACATTTGAGAGCTTAGGCGGAGATTTTTTTTTTTCATTCACCTTCACATTTGGAAAATGAGCAGCATGAACATTGTGCTAAACTTCAACTTTGTCTTTTACAGATGAAAGTAAGTCAGGTTTGGGAGGAATTATTCTTATATATAAAAAAAGAAAAGATCAAGCAGTCAAAGACATCAGATCATAATGAGCTTTCTGAGCTAATAAGCACACGTTAGAGTAATGCACCCATACCACTTATTACAATACCAAAACTTTACTTTCTTAAAAACTATCCAATGATTACCGACACCTGTATTTTCATTGCATTTGTAATTTGTAAACATATTGGGTGGAGAAACCAAAAGAATACAAATCATATTCTTTTAGTGAATAGAGTAAATAGATGTTTCCTTTAGTCATTTTCACATTTAATTACGCCTGTTAAAAAGTATTGTACAAGCTTCTGTTACTTTCACTGTTAATTCTATTGCTCTATTGTATTTTATCTTTCATTTAACGGCAGATCCCACATTTAGAGCTGCACAGTGATTACATGACGTTTTATTTACAATGTAGGGAACCATATAACTCATGCAACAGCTAATGTTTTTACTTACATTTACAATTTAGTATCAGCATGCCTAACACACATCGATAAAAACATTCTGAAGTTGCGGTTTCACAACTGAATTATTCGCGTAAACACACTCACGGCTATGCTGACTTTTCCCAAGATCTCCTCTGGAATTCTGCGAGCCTCTTTCAGAACCTGATCCAAAGAGCCTCCATCCTGACAACAAGGAGAAACACACAAAACACTTACCGGACACAGTAAGGAACCACAATTTTTACGGTTTTCTATGTGAATATCTGTTAAACTGTAATGTATTTCTGTGATGCGCAGCTGTATTTTCAGCATCATTTCTGCAGTCTTCAGTGTCACATGATCTTCAGAAATCATTCTAATATGCTGATTTGCTGCTCAAAAACATTTATTATTATTATTATTAATATTTAAAGCAGTTGAGTACATTTTTTTCAGGATTCTTTGATGAATAGAAAGATCCAAAAATCAGAATTTATCTGAAATAAATGGCTTTTGTTACATTATACACTCTACAATTCAAAAGCTTGGAGTCAGTATAATTTTTTTTTGTGGGGGAGAAATTATAGAAATGAATACTTTTGATGTATTAATACTATTTGATGTATGTATGAATGCTTTAAATTGATCAAAAGTGATAAAGACATTTATAATGTTACAAAAGATTTCTGTTTCAGATAAATGCTGTTCTTCTGAACTTTCTATTCATCAAAGAAACCTGAAAAAATTATACTCGGCTGTTTTCAGCATAATAATAATAATAAATGTTTTTTTGAGCAGCAAATCAGCATATTAGAATGATTTCTGAAGGATCATGTGACACTGAAGACTGGAGCAATGATGCTGAAAATACAGCTGCGCATCACAGAAATAAATTACAGTTTAACACATTCACATAGAAAACAGTTATTTTAAATAGTAAAAATATTTCACAATATTACTGCTTTTGCTGTATTTTGGATCCAATAAATGCAAGCTTGGTGAGCAGAAGAGAATTCTTTGAAAAAAAACTTCAAAAACCTTAACTTTTGACTGGTAGTGTATATTAGAATAAAACACTTACTAAAAAGCTTAAATATTTTATGGACCTGAATGTCATGTGATCGTTAATCAACATCAGAGTCACAAACATGTGATTGTATTCTGAAATTATAAACTTAGAATCTCAGGGGGGCTTCAAGGAAATATTTTAGCTCAAAGGGATTTGTCTGAATTTTTTAGGAACTAGTGTAGTCATAAAAGATGACAAAAAAGCCTCTAAACGCACCATGTTCTCCATACAGATGCTAATCTCCCCGTCGCTGTAAAACGCCCCGTAGAAACCCACGATGTACGGAGAGTTACACTCATGCAGGACCTGCAGCTCCCTGATGATCTGGTGCCTGATGGCTGGCTTGATCTCCAGATGAATTAACTACAGAAACACAGAAAAGAAACACATGCAACACTTATCGGCTTTGTCCACACTAATACGTTTTCGAACGCATTTTTTCCTCTCCGTTTTGGCCTTCGGTCCACACTGAGACGGCGTTTTTGTCAAGGTTGTAGTGTGGACTGTGAAAACGGAGACTTTTGAAAACAATGCATTTTAGTCATGTGATGCATATTGTACCAATCGACTGGTATTGTGCCTGTTATGTGCTACTCATTTTCACACTGTTGCTAAAGATGTTGCTTTGTACACTCTTCATATTACAGTCCAGCAAAGATGACCGGAAATTTACTCACAATTGCTGACCTGCGGCAAAACATGAGGGCAGCTGCATCGCATTTTAGATCAAAAATATAATGGTGAGTAGTGATGCATCAGTGAATGATAAGATATTTCCATAAATAAAATGATCCCGCCAGAAGAACTGCATAAAAACTCATTGTCTGTCCCATCTGTATCAACTTTTATGAGGTCTTACACATGCACTGTTAGGCGAATTTAACGCTTTCCGACGTTTCAGTGCGGATGAGAAACGTTTGGAAAACGCGTGTGGATGGAGAGCATTTTAAAAACGAAAACACTGTTTTCAAAGTCTCCGGATGAATGTAGACGACGTAGTCATAGACGTGTAGAGTTTTAAATGTGAACCTTTTTATTTTTATCATGTCTATGGACAGCATCATGACATGCCATAAATTAGAAGAGAAAATAATTTCAACTCATCCTTCAGCTTGTATAAATGAACAGAAAACATTTAGGATAAACAGAGACAGGATGATGAATTTTGTAGGCCGAAACATGCATTTTAGCACTTTTGATTCGTTTTGTTTTGGGTTAAATGATGGAAGGTCTGTGCTTCACACAAGCTCGAGATATTTTCATGACTGATTTTAGGACATAAAATATTTCAGTAATTCCTCCCTGTGATTTTTAAGGCTTTTACTTGTCTTGAAAAAGTTGTCTAAATGGGATACAGAGGTTGTTAGACAGTAAACGTCACGCTGAACAGGTAAACTCATCCACTCACTAGTTCATGTTTATAATCTCGCTCTTGCAAACTCAAACTTTCAGGGAAAATGTTTTCAAGTAAGTTGTTGTTAGGGCTGCCCTCTAAGTCAATGAGAAAAATTGTATTTGTCGCTTAGCTCGTTCTAACATTAACCTAGAAAAATGTGCACTGTTCAAGTGTTTGTGCGGAGTGTGGAAGCTGAATAGTAGCGTGCTCACTCAGTCAGTGCAATCATTTGCATTTCACTTAAAATACTTTTTCCTCATACAGAGTAATACATCTTTCAAATCTGTAAAAGGTCTACTTTTATTTGTGTGCACTCACAATAACAAAATGCTGTGCTTTTGTAAAATAATGAAAGCAAACAGGGCGCGCTTTCTGCCATCTGCGTCTCAGACACGTCAAAAAATGAACCTAAACTCTGTGCTTGCCTCACAGACATGACAAATATATCAATAGAAATAGGTTAAATGAACCAAGTCAAATGGAAAACAAATATTTTCAGATTATGTAATCCGTATGAAACATGCACGTCCACTGTGGAAATGACAAGTCAGTGTCGTCGACTTCATTATTATGAATTATATGGTTTATTAATAAAAACGTGCGATTAGTCGAATTGCCAAAAGACTGCTAGTCGACTAGAAAAATCTTTAGTCGAGGGCAGCCCTGGTTGTTGCTACCAAAAAAGTCATGCTCATTTGTGAAGATCATCATGATGAACAAAACATTTTTTTGTGGGCCACAAATAGGGCTGTGCAATTAATCGAAATCGTCATAAAATCGCGATTTGAGCATGCACGATTTCTAAATCGCTTTACAGCACGATTTTCCGCGCCCCCGACCTCCCGCAGTATGCTATCCGAACCAATCAGAATGCAGTGCGCCTAAATGGAGCACGAGAACAGAACAGACCGGGCGGGCATACAAACGTAACGCCAGGTTCACACACTCCGTCTGTGGTGCATATTTTGTCCGTGCCCATGTTAACGGATCAGAGCGTTCACACTGCACACGATTGCGGTCCGGCAGTGCGCTCCAGGAGCGGTGCGTCTGCAGCAGTCATGCTGCGATCGTTTCCGCA